TGTACATTAAGGAACAGCTCATAGCAGGTAAAATATTTAAGGTTGCATTGCAACTTATTGTGTGTTAATATTAAAATCATTCAGCTTTAAAGTGTTTGGCTTGTTAGCCACAGTTAGCAACCAACCCAATCTAGCGTAGTTGTTGTTGTTAGTACGTCATCTTAGCGCGGCGCCAGTAAACGTCCCATGGCTGCATTCATGCAGGCTCGGAAAGGCTGAAGCCTACAGAACAAACATCGGTTATAAAAACCTGATACCGATAATTCCCGATATTACATTTTTTAGTGAATATCCCTATTATTTATTATTTATTATTTATTTATTATTGACTGAGTGACATATTTTATGGATATTTCATATAATATTCAACAATAACAGCAGAGAACAGCTGATAAACTGATGAACCCAAACAGTGAACTCAATAACTGCAGGGTGTTTGATTATTTCCTGTTAATATTGATCACAGATGAGATTTCCTGATATTTTCATACAATTCTCTGTTTGTATTCTGTATTGTTTTACTTTTCAACAGTCAGAGAGACCTCATAGAGTTATTTATTCTCATTTTATCTCTCTTCTAACAGCTCTGTGAACAAAGTTTGTGTTCAGGTCTTTTAAGTTTAGATCTTAAATAAGAATTTAAACTTTTATCTTAATTCTTCACAGAAACCACCAACTTCCTGCAGTGATAGTGTCCAGCTGTTCTCTGCTGTTATAAGGAGCCAGTGGTATAATCCATAAAGTGGATTCTTTACAAACTTTACATTTGGGTGGCAGAAGACCGTGAGAATGAGAGCCTGAAATAACAGAAATATAATAAGTTGTTTCCATATTTAAAAGCTCCCCGTGTATTTGAGCTGCAGGTTTGTGTTGTTCATGTCGGCGGAAACAAACGATGTGAGGAGGGAGAATAAAAGTCTGAGGGGGATTCTAAATAAAAACACGATCTGACCCTGAAATGAAAAAGTATCTTCATATTCTGACGGAAACACCTCAGATGTTTCATTCACATTATTCACCCCGTCTCCAGCAGCCCTCTCCTTTGTTTCTCGTGGTGTTTGCGGTGGAATGAATTGCCGACAGTTTCAGTCACGATGAATATGAAGCGAGCTCGATGCCCCCGCTGTGCGCCTGTGTGTGTCTGTTGTGAGGGTTTCACTTGATCTTTTGCAAATCCACTAAACGCATGCATCCACACACCCACACCGGCGTCTCCGGCGTCTGCTCGGGTGGGTCGGAGGGCCAGCGACTACACCCATCTGTCACCCTCCTCCTCCCCCTTCCTCACCCCTCCTCGCCTCCATACGAGACAATAAGAGCATGAGCTCAAAGTGTCTGGAATGAAAAACAAGAAGCAAACAGAGAGAGAGGAGTCGGACACGGAGAGTTACTGGGCGGTTTCCAGTTGGTCGCGATCCAAAGAACGATGGTGGAAAACCAAAAGAGCGAGTAGAGTCGGAGCGTGTTGTTAGTTCTCTCAAATCAACTCAATTATTCACCAATTACAGCACATGAAAGTCATTATTTATGAGGTAAAGTAACTTTTTAACTGTTGTTTTAAACAGTTTTGCTGGTTTGTTAGCTTTTCTTTTGGGGAAGAAACTGCGGTTATATATATATATATATTTATATCACTCTGTTCACAGCCACCAGACTCCATTTACAAAAACAGTAATTTTACCTTTCTCGATCTAATAAAGATTCAAGTTTTTCTAAAAAAGAAAATAATAAATTACCTCAACAAAAGATTGTTTTCTGTTGAGTTTTCTGAACTGTCTCTTTTATCTTTTTTCAACATAGATTAGCCTAGCACGTAGCATAGCATAGCTAAGTACAGGAAGTTGACGGAGGTTCGGTCTGTTGTCGGATACTTTTATTGGATAAAATCATGCAGAAACACTCACTCCTCACTGCTCGTGTCGATGGTATCTGAAGTGTTGAAGCTTTTTCTAAAAACCAAAACGCTCCTGTGACATTTAGAAACTGCTTTTACTCAAACACGACCTCACTTCCTCCAGACAACGGCGCTACATCACTTCCCATCACATCAACATTCAGGGAGCTTTCAGTGTTCACCGCTGACATTTAGGCATTTCGCTGACACCCGCAGACAACAGAATCAACTCCAGCTGAAGATTATACGCCACTAATTGGGGAGGTTAAAGGTCACAAAGGGACACTGACCCGAGCAGAGGTGGACCAATTAACTGCTGACAGAGATATTTTAGGGGAAGCTGAAGGACAAACAGTCAGCGAGCGGCGAGCGCCCGGAGAGACGGTAAAATAAAGAAAGAGAGGAAGAGTGGAGGAGTCGGAGAGTCCCCGTCCGGGAGCGCCGGCTGTTTGAGGGCAGCCTGACCTCCGACACAAAAACAAACCTCTCCGCTCTCTCGGGGAAAGTGCAACCTGGAGCGCCTCGTCGGAGCACGCACCTTGTTTCCATGACAACAGAGTGCTGCTCTCAGCTCACCTGTGAGAGTTTGATCCTGCAGCGTTTCGTCCTGAACCTGAGGGCCGGTAACGCGCCGCACATTCACAGACTGCAGATTCTTTTATTTTTTTAAAGTATATTTTTTTATGGCTTTTATGATAGTGACAGCTGAACACAGACAGGAAAGGGGAGCAGAGAGAGGGGATGACACGCAGCAAAGGGCCGCAGCACGGATTCAACCCTGGGCCGCTGCAGCAAGGACTGCGGCTTGGTACAGGGGTCGCCAGCTCTACCCACTGAGCTAACCGGGCGCCCCGCAGAACAAATTTTTACCATTGTTATTCAGAGCTGCTACATGGAGTAATACACACTTCACACTTGTGGACATACAGCAGGGAGAGAGATGGTAAGCGCCTTTCTAGTCTTCCGACCTCTCAAAGCACTTTTACACTACATGGCACATTCACTCTTTCACACACATTCACTCAGTGATGGCAGTCCATTTATACACATTCACACACCGATGCACGGCATCAGGAGCAATTCGGGGTTCAGTATCTTGATCAAGGTGACCTCGACATGTGACAGGAGGAGCCGGGGAATGAACCAACAACCTTCTGATTGGGGGACGACCCGCTCTGCCTCTGCACCACATCCGCAGCCTGGTGGAGCATGGGCTCGCCACGTTAGGGGCGCCCGTGAGCAGTTTCTTGGGGTTGGTTGCCTTGCTCAAGGCACTCGGCAGTGCACAGGAGGTGAAACTGGCACCTCTCCAGCTATCAGTCCACACTCCATATTGTGTTCTGTGGGATTTGAACAGCCCCCAAATTTCCAAGAATATGACAATTTACCCTTCTTAAGTCCCATCCTTTTGGAAACTTGGTCAAATTCCTCCTTTCCTGTTCTTAGATATGCTATGTGCTAGGCTAGTAAATGTTGAAAAGACTACATTTTGTGGATGGTTAATAAAATAAATAAAATAAAAAATAAATAAAAATGTAGTATGTTCCTTTGTTGTAGTATCTTTATTTGCCGAAGTATGTTTTCTAATTAATGTTTCGCTTTTTTAAAAATCTACATGCTTGCTTTGGCAATATGTACAGTGTTATGTCATGCCACTAAAGCGATCTGAATTTGAATTGATAAAGTATATGTTTGCTGAAATATATACTGTACACATACTGTATATAGTCACATCTTCAGTTAGCTAATGTTAGCAAAAGGTTAGTTAAGTGGCTAACAAACAATGTATGTAAATTAGCTAGCTAATGATTGATGTAGATTAACTAGTTAGCTAGTGTTTTGCTGACATTAGCTAAATTAAGATGTGACTATATAGCTATATGTCGCTTATAACTTTTAACTATATCATCATCTTCTAAATGTGGTTGTCTTTTCAACAAAGACGAGTAATTGTGCATTGAGCAAGATTTTAGAAGGACTTTCTACCATACTGGAAGTTATGCTTGTGACGTTACTGAATAGATTGACACACACAATGTACCACTATATTTTTAGGTTATCTCATCTCTATACAGGTTCTTGTATAGTTCAACATTATTTGTTCACAGTAGGGTTGGGGTTTTAATCATCCTTTCAGTTACTGAACCAGTGGTTGTTGGGCCTTTGCAAATATAATCAATGGAACTATGCTGAATTTGCTAAAGTAATTACATCAAGGTTATGAAAGTTAATTTGACAGTGATACACTGGTGTTAAGCTTAACATTCACAACCTGTTCATCTGGATTGCGACTTGGAAAACCATAATCATCATAGTGTTGTGGCATGAGGCGGTGCGAGGCAGTCATCCTGTCACATGCTCTTAGAACAGGCTTGTCAACTGCACTTCCTGTTATTTAGAAATTCTCCTCTGATTCCATTTTCTATGTGAAATTAGCCAAGACGTTTCCTAAAATGCCAAATCAAGGACAAAGTTTTGAGGATTATACTTTCACGTTTGTGACAAATAGGAAATCAAAATACCTTGTTGAACATGAAGGTGATGGAACCCTCTTTGAAGTCGAGGGTAAGGTTAACTTTGGTGTCCTGACAGCTTCCCTTTGTTTGGACCATGTTCGGCTGAACAACGAAGGTTCCATTGGCCTGAGAGATGAACAGAGAGAACTTGTTTCAGAAGGTACCACGTCAACTGCATTGTTACTTAGAGAAACGTTATTGTTTTGTCATGTAGGAAAAGCAATTGTCACATGCCACACAGATGACACAAATCTAACCTTCCACAAACCCACCGCAATGAGGAAATCAAAAGTTGCATGAAAACCTTTTCTCAATTCCTAAAAATAGAATGCTGACAATGCGTTGCTGAAAGCTGAGTCAGAGGTCCGTGCCGGAAGTTCTTTCCATGCTAACAAATTTCTACATGGCTTAATGAATCCCTAAATGCAAGTTTAAGATTCAAATTTGCTCAAGCCGGACCACAAAACTGTCTTTCCTGGGGCTCTTGTATCTATTTTGACTAATGAAGTGTACCTTTGGTGTTGCCAGTCGGATCTGTAGCGCCATTATAGCCATCAGGCACATCACTTTCTTGTTGTCCGACAGAGTGTAGTTTCCTACACTCACGTTGGCTGGGGCAGTAGGTGAAGGAGAAGGTGTAGTTGTAGGTTTTGGGGTTGTAGGCTTGGGCTTGGGAGTATGTGGTTGTAGTGCTTGGGAAGTTGTTTCGGTTCGTAGGTTTGGGCTTGGGAGTTGTGGTTGTAGGCTGGAGTTGTGGTTTGTAGGCTTGGGCTTGGGAGTGTGGTTGTGGCTTGGGAGTTGTGGTTGTAGGCTTGGAGTTGTGGTCTGTAGGCTTGCTTGGATTGTGGTTGTGGCTGGGAGTTGTGGTTGTACTGGGAGTTGTGGTTGTAGGCTTGGGAGTTGTGGTTGTCTCTGCAAACTCGCCCGCAGGGGACACGGTTGCAGAAGGTTTGGATTTCTTTAGGTCTTCAGCCAATGACAGTGCTTCAGTCAAAAAACAAAGGAAGAAACAAGTAATTATCTTCAATTTAGATGCTAGATCTTCTTACCCAGTCTGCCTGCTGCTGCTGCTGATGATGATGTGTCTGATGATAGCACAATTTAGCCTAATTTGATTAAACTTGTGAGGCAGCTGAAATCATGCAAGAATCCATCTGGTGGACCAAATCAGCGTCCTATGAGGAACCACTGGCAGCTACTTTTTGAGCTACGGACGTGGTTTAACACTAGCTGTGTGTGAGAAATGACTGATCACTCAAATACGACAATGGTGGCTGCTAAAGAGGTTAATGTAGATGCTGCTAGCATCAATTATATCAGAACTGGGGAGTATTTCTTCATTGAAAGAAGAGCAAAGAAGAACGTTTTCTGCATTGAAAAGATGTTTTCTCTCTCCCCCGACTATAGCTAGAGTTTGACTACGTTATAACAACAACTCCAAACAAAACTCTCTCGCTCTAGGGTGTTTTTCAGCCTGTTTTAGCATGGTTTAGTGATAATTCTCTGGGGGTCTTTCACATTACACGGTCGTTTAATTCACTGTTAATATAAAACAAATACACATTAGTGCAGCTTTACTGGATGTTGACTAGAACTACTGATCTTTGCACTGTGAGCAACTTCAAACAAACAGTAAAACAGCACACTCATTTAGTTTGATAGCAACTGCTTTCCATGTTGACGTCAGCTGACACTGCCAACACATTTATGACTCTGCTCTGTGTTTTCAGTGCACAGGTTATCTGCAGGTTCAGTGGTTATTTAAATGTTTCATTTTAGGATTCAGATAGAACCGGTGACTGGGCTTTATACACAGAGGGTTCACTTTAAATAAATATATTTTCATTAATTTGTCGATTTTGTTCTCCATTAATGGATTAGTTGTTTCGACCAAAAATAAAAATGTTAAAAATGTTCTCCAAAGCCCAAGGAGACATCTTCAAATATCTTGTTTTGTCTACAGCCTTAATATATCCCCTTTACTGTCATAGAGGACTAAAGAAATCAGAAAAAAATTCACTCAGAGAATTTGGACAGTTTTTCTTGAAGATTGTTCCCGCTTTCATGCTACTGATTGTGTTGAGCTTGAGCCAGCTGTCAAACACAGGGGTGGGGGATTTTAAACAGGCATATAGTGAGCATTAAGTAAACAACAACCAAAGCACAAATTAATATTTTTTCAAAAAAGCACAATTCTAAACCATATGATTTGATATCTTTTTATAGTAAGATTAATTTAGTAATTAAACATGCTTAAAGCTGCAGAAAGTAACTTAATAAAAATAACTTTCTGTTATATTCACTGAAACTTTCACTATATCCTGACAGTAGTACATGAGACAGATAATCTGTGAAAAAGACTGAGAGAACATGACAAAAAGTTATTTTTTTATAAAAATATAAAGTCACTTGTTTACTAATAAGAATTGTAATACATGTATATTTGTATATTTGTATATTTATATGTATATTTCATCTGAAAAGTGGCTTACCTAGGCTAAAATCTGAAATGCTAACATTCACTGGAGTTTAGGCTTCAACAAGTTGCAGACTCATCTTAAAAAAAAAAAAAAGGCCTAATCTGCCAGCAGACATGTGACTCAAACCTGAAACACTATCGAAAGACTGCGGAAATTTCTGTTCCTTAAACAATCCAGGAAGTGACCCACAGGGCTCATAAAAACATGTAATGTCTCATTTAAAAAAAATTGCAAAGACTTTCTGATGAACGCATAATACAGGCTGCACATGATAGTTAACAGTATCCTAGTTCTGATATTTGTCACTAAATAAAGCAAGACAACTGGTCTACTGTTAAATATTGAATACTTATTTATGCGCAGGAGCAAAACTTTTTTTGTTCTTCACTAAAGTGCTGAAGCAGATTGTTTTTGCCTTCAGTCTGTCCCATGGAAACAGAAGGGTCTTACCTGACAGAGCACAGAGGCCAATAAAAGCGAACACAACAGCGGTCTTCATGGTGACAAGTTTCTGCTCTTCTTCTAACACTGGTTCACTGTGCGGCTGCCGCGCTGCGCCTCCGCTGATAAACAAGCGCCAAGCGTGAAGCTGCCGCAGGCGTAAACCTGACCGGAAACGCTGCATTTATAAAAATAAAAGCATCTCTAATTGTCAAATAAAATTGCAACAAGTAGCTTGTTAGACTACTATGTTATGTACAGTAAAGACAAAAAAACCCCATATTTCTAAATATCTAAATTACTATGTTAAATTTGACAGCATTAGACACCAAACTGAGGCAGCCAGGTGTTTTTTTTAAGGCTGGTAGATGCCATCCCATACCAGCCCTCTAGATCGGCCCTGAGTGCATGGTAAAAAGGGGAGCCAAAAATAAAAATTCTAAATACGTTTTTATACATGCATAAATAAAAATATCTATCTTTTTATATACAGAGATGTATTACCCTAGTTTAAAAAAAGTTATCTCAGGACACTTTTCAAATAGAGCAGATCTAGTACTCCTTATAAAATGTATATATATTTCATACAAATTCATGAATAATACTGTTTTTTCTTAATATATTCATATTTAAGTTAATAATAATTAAATTATAATTATATTATAATATTAAATTATTAGGCTACCGTAATCTGGAGTATTTTTGAAGACACACTGTAGACATATTATTTTGAAAGCACTAACCGGAAGCACTAGTGTTGCTTCTTAAAGGCTAATGATTGTTGTAAACTGTCCAAATGATATCAGTACTCGGGAAACGAAACCATTGAGACAGCAGGGAGGGGGCCTGTTGCTTAAAATGGTAGTTAAATATCACATGTTGTTTGAGAGCAGAATGAAACGAAACTGTGTGAAACTGGACTGACAGCTGCACTGGCCCCATGGTAATTTAGGACTACATTTACCATGACCATATCTCAACTACCTACATTGCATACAGTTTACTGGAGGAAGAAATTGGCTTTAGGCTTCCCTGTAGCCTACAGTACATGCGAACACACTCTTAACTGCAATAAGTACTAACAGCACCAGCAATAGACTAAGTAATAGTAGCAGCAGTAACAGTAATAGTAACAGTAGTAACAGTAACAGTAGCAGCAGTAACAGTAACAGTAGCAGCAGTAACAGTAACAGTAGCAGCAGTAACAGTAACAGTAGTACTGTCATAGTCGCGATAGTAGTAGTTGTCGTTATGGTATAGTAGGCCCAATAGTAGTGTAGTAATTATAGTCCTTAATACTGGTAGTTAGTTGTAGTAGTAGTAGTAGTAAATGACTGCTAGTGGGAGGCTGGTAGCAATTATAGTAGCAATAGTAGAATTAGTATTGAGAATAGCAGTGTGATGGTAGTAGTAGGGGAGAATGGGGTTGGTTGCCACACTTTCACTTTCACCTTTAATAGATTCCCTTTCAATGTATAATGGAAGCCTAAAGCGCCTTTAGTAGGTGTAGTTGCAGATGACAACGCCCCCCCCCAGCACGGTGGCAATGAAAAGCATGAAAAATGTAAAATGCGTAAGGGCCCCTGGGTACAGCCAGTGTTTGGTTTGTCTTTTCTGGGCTACTGTAGAAACATGGCGGTTCAACATGGTGCACTCATTCTAAGGTAACAAAAACAATTCTTATTTTCAGGTGATTATACACTAATGAAAACATACCTACGAATATTAAACATATAACATTATATTTTACACATGAACTGTCAAATAGGTCTTGACAACTTGTTATTTCAAAAGTTTAATAGAAACAACACATCTTCAGTATGGAAAAATCATTCCTATAAGTGCATTATTTATCCTTATGTAACAATATAAAGAACAATAACACTCATCCTTATGTCAGTCACTCACTATCACTCACATGTGACAAGCTTTCCCTAAAGGGACTTTTTGCTAGCAACTAAACTAACAACCGCATGTTGTAGCCTAGCTAAGCATCAATTATTATAAAGCATCAATATATAAAAGATGGATGTTGTGTCGCCACTTCTAAAGGCTAAAATATCCCGAAAACAGCCGCTGCCATCTTGGCTCGTTACTTGATTTGGAGCCAGACTCTGCAGGATTGGCGCCTTTTTATAGTTTCAAATAACTAATTAAAATGACATAAAACATCTTTGGGAAAAATGTATTTGACATGTACTTTGATTTTTTTGTTTGTCCCATGCAACGTTCCATCTGTTGTCATTTACTGCAGTCAGACACCAGGGGATGATGGACACCTTTTGGCTTTACTGTGGGGAGCTGTCATGTCGTCCATCTTTTATGTCAGTGTTATAAACCCATGATGTAAAAGCCTTGAGGAGAAGCGCTGGATATTTTCACTTCAGTGTCAATCTGAATAATAATTCAAATGCATCTTCTCTATATAAATGGTACCACCAAGTGGAATTTTCCTTCCACTAAAGCAAATTATAACATCATCTGTCAAAACAGCTGATGTAAAATAAAACAATTTATAATTAAATCATTATTAAAATGGTAGCCAATTCATTTTCTGTGTTTTTTCTATGTGACAACAGGTACATGTACTGTAATGTTGCTGTTGCCATCAACAGACAATAGACAGGACACTGAGAATATTTCCTGACATGTGACAGAAAGAGGAAATAAGATATTTCCCAAATACGCACACACATGTGGTTGACAGTGACACTGTTTTAATTATGAGCTTATCTGAAGGAGGAACTTCCATATTATCATAGTCAGGCCTATTCTCACCTCAACCTTGTGACTCTGTGTTCAGCAGGTGCCTTTGAAGTGCTTTGGATATAGCCAATGTGTGCGCTGTCAGCTCTGTTCCTGGCTGATCTCATTATTTACTGGCATTAACAGCCAGTTCACACAAGCTAAAGTTCCAGCTAATGCCACAGAAACATCAAAATTTTACTGGAAACAAAGTGGATCAGCAGTATTAGAGCAGAGTTAGGGTGAGGCTGAATCGACTGTGGTAGTAAAGGTAACTTCTTAGTCATACAGAGTACTAATAGTAGGCCCAATAGTAGTGGTTGCAACACAATCAAGGGCAACGTGTTAAAAATACATTCAATTTCCCAAATTAACTTTTGTTAAATTGTCTTTTGCACTACTATGATATTTTTTGTTTATGTGGTAATATTTACAAAATAACAGTTACTTTATGAGGTTTTTTTATGTGTAGAATATCCTTGAGGCAACCTACCTTGAGTCAATGAGCAGATGCACAAAGCCTATACTTCAGCGTTAGACAGGAAGAATGTAAACATTTACAATGCAAATTGGGTGAACTTGACCTCACTTCATGTTCAAAAATACTGTTGTGCTTTCTGTTTTGATATGGCTGCTTAGTTTGCAACAACTTGTTGCAACCATCCCCACCCCATCAGCCATGACAGAATATCATGTGGCAGCTAGACACGCTGACCTTGACACATACTACTACTTACGTGTCAAAAAACTTGATGATTCAAACTAAGTTTTGATTCATTCATACAAAAAGTCAGAAGAGTATGACAAAAATACTGCTCATGAATAAAATTACTTTCATACCTCCAAAATATAGATATTTTCTAATAAATAGAGAAGCACATGCTGATTTTCTCCTGTTTTCCTGATAGGGTCTAAATGAGTATGTGCAGTATGAGTGTCATCACGCTAGCATGTTTCTGATTGGAGGAATAAAAGTAGTTACAATCGCCCTGTTGCAAACGTCACCCATCTCCCCTACTCAGCCTGAAAAACTGTGGTAGAATGTCTTCTGTGGCTCTGGAGCGACAGTCTGAGGAAAATAAACCCTGGTTAAATTAAGTTTTCTAATGAAAGGCACTATCCAGTTGAATTATAGCAGCAGTAGTAGTAGAAGTAGGGTCCAGGATTTTCCCCCCAAAATCTTTCTGTCAAGTACCTCAATGTGAAAAATAAATATTTAGAACACTTTTAATACATATAGAGAATGTATTGTTGACATTTATAGTTTAAGGCCAAATTTATGTACAAAACATAGAAAAAATATCAGCAACACCAAATTCTTATGCGTTGTTAAAAATGTTGGTACAATAATAATATATGTAAACCAAGGTTAGAATACTCCTAAAAGTAGGTGTGAAAATACAATTTAATTAACTGGAATGAAAATAAAAACTAGACTTAAGAAAAACAATTCACTTAAAAAAAAATTGTGAACTAACTATGAAATTAAATAAAAATATACAGCAGGAGGCGTTGCATTTGTTTGCATTGTAATATTTTGACAAATACCCCCTGTATTATAATAAAGAAAAAACTAAAAATAATACTGAAACTAACAAAACCTAAACTAAAACTAAACATTTTTCAACCAAAAAACCCATTCTGGAAACTACCTGAAACTAAACTAAAACTAATGAAAAATGCAGAACTATAATAACCCTAAAAACTGCAGTAAAACAGGTTTTTATTTTTCAATTATGACTAAATTTCAATTTGACTCATTTCTGGCTAGGAAACACAACTTGATCATTTATTATCAAATATATTCATAATGTCTGTATGCCAAAAAAGACTTTAAAGGTTAATGTTGCTGCTGCGCTCTAATATGAAACAAAAACACAAGGTTTGTCTCCGTCTAAACTACGGTAGATATGTGTTTTCAATTTCCCCATTGGTTTAATTTCCCGGGAAAATGATTATGATAATGAGGTCACTGTCCACCAATCCTGAGCCCGCAAACCTAACTGGCCCCGCCTTTCATGACGACAAATGAGAGGAAACTGTACAATCCCATAAAAGGAAAATACTCCCGCATGCGCAGTGGCTTGATTTTTGTTTGAAGTGAACTGCTGCCTGGGACTGCCCTACAAGCTGCAAAGTCGCCAAGCATTTTGATTTTAACAGTATATTTTTCACATTTCCTCCATATTGTTTCAGTGCCTCTATGCATCGTAGAGACGATGTTAGGCCACCACTACCCAAATGCCGACAAGTCGCAACAACTGGTCAACTATGTGGAGGATTATCTGGAATGTGTGGAGTCCCTGCCTTTGGACATACAAAGAAATGTTTCTCTGCTTCGAGAAATTGATGCAAAGTATCAAGGTATTGTGTTTCCGTGTTTTTACCGGCAATTACAAGTGCGTGTGTAGAAGTGACAAACATTAACGGCAGTCTGACAGGGTGTGCTCGAATGGTGGAGCAGGCGCGAGCCTTGTGTTCCCATTTAGCAAAAAAAGCCGAGCTAACCGAACCATATGTAGTCCGATGTACAGCACAGCGGCTGGCTCTAATGTGGATAATGGCACTGACGAGACGACTGTTTAAATAACAAGTCAGTCATCCGTCAGTTAGCGTAGCCCGGATACACTCCGTCCTGTTTTGTGTGTGCCACCAACCTCAATGAGGAAAATCCTGAAATGTGATATTTCTTTCTCTCGACAAGCGTACATATACATTATGACCTCATACACGGTCTGTTGTGAATACATTGTGTTCAATGGCATATTCGGCATCAATATAGTGTGAAAACTATTGCTGTGTAATCATAAAATCGCAACTTTTTCAGTACACACTGCCGCCCACTACGGTGTTTCCGCGGTGGATTATTGTGCGAATACCGGGGAAAACAATGACTAAACTTGGGCATTTTTTTGCTGCTTGGTGCATGTAATGTATGCCGAAGCCCAGAACGTTGTGTGGAGGAGTATGAGATCATAAACTGTGTTCATTGAGGTGTGAACCCTTGACCGGTGAGTACGGTTAACATACACTGGCGTTTTTTAACGTAACAACAATCCTCATTGTTGCTTTATGTTGACGCAGGGTGAGCGGCGGCTTACAGCCAGCCTCTGTTAACAATAAGTTCCACGGCACCATCGACACATTATGTGACACACAGCGATAGAATTACCGACGCGTTACATTTCGGTTGTTTTTAATCGAGATTACACGTCTCCGAGGGCTGCTACGGTGTCTGCCTGCGCTCTGCTCCGTCGAGTGTGAGCCGCAGAGCCGGATGGCTCTTCTTCTAGGCAACCCCCTTCAACATCTGACTGCCGTCATTTCCTGTAGGCAGGGACTGACTGCAGCTCAGCCCTCCCTCCCTTCTCCTTCCTCCTTCCTCCTCC